GGGAGCGCCACCGCGCTCTCAAGCGGCGCACTGTAGCAGTGCGCCACCGGGCCGGCCCAAGCCATAGACTGCTTTAAAAAAACCTCTATGGGGCTGGCCAGGTGTAGCACTGCTACAGTGTGCCGCTTGGGAGTGCGGTGGCGCTCCCGCCGAGGGTTCGGATCCCACATACAGACCGGCCGCTCACTGGCTGAGCGAGGTGCGGGTGCAACACCGAGGGTTGCGATCCTGTTGCCGGTCCCGGTCCGGTACGGGCACGACACTGAGGGTTGCGATCCGTTGCCGGTCACGAAAAAAAGACAAAAAGGAAAAAAAAAAAAAAAAACCTCTATGACTTTACATTTCTATAAGCAGAATGCCCCCTTCAAAACTCCATTAGCAAAGAAGCTTACAATTTTTTCTCCTCTGACTAATTTATTAAGTATATTGATATTTTTAATTTTTAATTTGAGTATTAGTGAATGTAAAGTTCTTTTAGGTCTGTTTGTCTATTATCTAAAGTTGTCTTTTTGAACTAATTTGCTCACATCTTGTGACTGTCTACTGGGAGATCTTTTTGTGTAGTGGGTCTAACAAACATGAATGATGTACCTACAAAAATTAAGAAAATAAAGAGCTTTCTCTAGGAGTTTAGAGTCTGGGAAGGGTACACATGTAAACATCAGAATTTTACCAGAACAGAGAAGTGGTCAGATGGGAACCCGGAAAGGATACATGATTTTCTTAATAATTTCTATAGACTATTTATAATACAGATATTAGCTACAAATTTCACTCTATTTACCCTATTTGCCTTTCTATATTGTAGGAGTTTTATTTAATAAATAGCCTGTTATTCTCCTTTGTGATTTCTTCTATTGCCTATTAACCTTAAAAAATATTCTCTCTGCAAGTTCTGATGAATGTTCAATTCTATTTTTTCTTCGTGTAATTATTTAGAATGTTTACTTCTTTAATATCTGGAATTAATTTTGGTGTATGATGTATTTAGTGAGGATCTAAATTAATTTCTCCTCACTCACAAGCTCTTAAAGGTTACTACAGCACATGAAAGTTCAATTCTATTTTTTCTTCGTGTAATTATTTAGAATGTTTACTTCTTTAATATCTGGAATTTATTTTGGTGTATGATGTATTTAGTGAGGATCTAAATTAATTTCTCCTCACTCACAAGCTCTTAAAGGTTACTACAGCACATGAAAGAATTCTTTCCATTTATGATGTTATTTACCTCATTCACAATACACCAAGTTCCTACCTAAGTACATTGCAGCCTCCTTCAGTGTTGTTAGCTTTACCCTGAAACTCATGATGTTTCTATCACTGACACTTTGAATGTTTTCATAAGTAACATTATTTATCCTTCCAGATGCCCCTTGGAGTCACTGCTGAATTCTGCAGTAAGTCCACATATGTGACATAATTTCCCCCCATAAACTCCAGGTTTGTGGCTTCTGTCTTCAGACTATATATATACCACCCCCTTGGCTTCTCATGGACCTACACACATCTGAGACCCTCCTTTTACTTGAAGATTTAAATTTCACTGTTTTTGCCATCATTCTTGATGATTCTAAGAAGATGACTCTTCTAACTCCCAAGGCTCTTCGTTCCTTCAACTCCTTGTTCTCATCCAGTGACTTTGGCTTCTACTCCATTTGTTCCCATGGTCAGGTCCAGAGACCTTGCATGACAGATCACTGCAATTCCCCTCCCCCCGACCCTGGTCTCAATTCCTACCCTCCCACACCCCAGCCATAAGTTCCATGCTTCCAGCTCACTCTCAACTCCAACAGTACTTTAATACTGCCAGGAGCTATGACCCACTGATGCTGTTGTCCTTCCACTGTCTGCTGGCCCTGCCCACATCCTCACCTCTATCCTGCTCCAGCTGGGATCTCTCCATCACTCCCCTTTTCTCTTTTCCTGACAAGACTCAGCCTGACTGAATCTAGCTCTATTCTCTCCCAGTCTTTCTTGGGCACCTTCCAATCAACCTTTGATCCAACAACATCAACATAAATTATACTTTCAAGGACAAGTGGCCTCGATGCTGTCAAGTCCAATGGTTAATCCTCAGTCCTCACTTTACCTCTTAGCAATGTGTGTGACATGCTGCTCGTTCCCTTTTCCTTCAAATGCTCTCTTAACTATCATAACTGGTCTCTCCTCTTTTACCGGTTTCATCTCTCCAAACCCTGGGCTTCATCCTCGGACTCTGTTCCTACCCAGAACTCTCTCCTGTACTCAAAGATTCTTATTTTCAAATTCCTATGCGACATGTCCACTTAGACTGGCAAACCTAATATGTCTAAAGCCAAACTGAAACATTTCCCCCAACAAACAGACATCCCCACTCAGGTTACTGCAACTGCATCCTTTCCATTGTTTAGGCTGCAGTCTATGAAGCTGCCAGATTCCTCTGCAGATTATCTCACACCCTGTGTCTGATCCACCAGGAAATCTGCCTCTGACGACTTTTCAGCACTTCCATGTTACAACCCAGGTTCTCTCACCTATATTATTACAGCAGCCTCCTCACTGGACTCCCTAGTGTTGCCCTTAGCCCTCATGATGGAGACTCTGTACAGCTGCCATAGGTCTCCTCAACTCCTCTGCCCGAATCCCTGCTGGGCCTTCCCATCTCACTCAGGAGGAGACCTCACAATGGTCTCACAGATACTCCCACACCCTCTACCTGAGGCCCCTGGTGGTTCCCTGAGCACACACCCACTCTCCAGGGCCTCTGCCCTGGCTGTCCCCTCACCTCCATCTGGTCTCCCCTCAAATGTCACTTTCTCTGTAAGGCTCTCCTTGAGGACCCCACCTCCTTATTGTGCTCCCAGCCTTCATCTTCTAGTTTCTTATAGGATTCTGCTCCCTAGTGCTCATCTTCAAATCTACATGACTGGTTTATTGTCTGTCTCTTTTATAAGAGGGAGGAACAGTGCCTGGAACATAACAGGTGTTCAATTAATACTTGTTACACAGATGAGTAAATATTAATTTGGGAAAAATAATGTATTTTAATTAGTCTTTCCATTTATGAAGTGGTCATTTTATACCTCTCAAAAAAGGTTTGTGGTTTAAGTCTTAGAGATCTCATACATTTCTTGGTAAGTTTATTCTTGAGTATTTACAGTATTTGATCCTACTCCTTTTGTCATTAGATAATATAATTGGCTATTACTAGTGAAACATAAATAATTAAAAATAGTTCTTGTTTGAGGCCAATTTAAAGACTCATTTTACTAGTTCTAAGTGTTTATCAGTTCTTCATTTATTCTAAGAGCTTTATTCCTTTGGTTTTTCTTGATGTGAAATAAAGCCACCCTCATTTCATTTTTGTCTTATTTTACAGTATGTTTGCCTTCTGATTTCTGTTTAATTGTACTGCAGAAATTCCAGAGCGACAAATTGATAGCACCCTTCTTTGTCTTTTCTTGACATAAATGGAAACCAGGCTTAACTGTGAACTGTAATATTTGCTAATGGTTTTAAAAAGACTCAGAACTCTAAAAAGAAAACAAAGAAAAAAAATAAAGAACAACCACAGCAACAAAAGATAAACAAACAAACAAACAAACAAAAAAAGACACAGGACTTTATCATGTTAGTTTTCTAAGAGCATTTTGAAAAAAGCATTTTTATTAGGAATTGATGTTGAATTATCTAATATTCCTTGTAGAACACCTAAGATGGCATTGTGGCCTTATTTAACTTCTTTGTATGTCAAGTTATATTAATAGATTTCTTTCTACACAAAATTCTTCTATTATAAATCACATTTAATCTTCCTTTGAAAAATAAATACTTCATGACTGGCTGGTTAGCTCAGTTGGTTAGAGTACGGTGCTAATACCACCAAGGTCAAGGGTTTGGATACCCTTACTGGATAGCTACAAAAAAAAAAAAAAAAAAAAAAAAAAATTCTATGTTCCGTATAATTTTCCTTAAAAGCTTGAAACAATGCATCGACAAATAATTTAGAATCAGGAACCATTTCTGAAGTTATCTTCCAACCTTTTACTTGGTTTTTACTCTATTCAGGGTTTTCCTAACCCTATGGTATCAATAGTGAAAACCTGTATTTTTTCTAAAAAAATTGTCAATTTATTTTATTATTTTGTTTTTAACTTAATAGTATAAACATTACATTGCACTCTTTGATGATTTTTTTCCATCTGTGTTAAACGTTTTTTTCCAGACCTTTTATTTCTAATTTTGTCTAGGTTTTTTTCTTCCCACACACAAATATGCCAAGCATATATACTTGTATTTTTTGCACTTTGCTTTTCAAAGACCCAGTGCTTCCTTATGCATTTATTTCTGCTTTTTCACTGATTTTTCTTCTTGAACAATTCACCTGCTACCAGGACCAGTGAAAAAGGAGTGGCAGGCACCCAGTTGACAGTGGCCAACCCTACCTGCCTGGTCAAGGAGACCCCTGGGGTGAGGGGGCAGGAGAAAACTCGAGGATATGGCCCACTCTGAGTCTCAGGTTAGGGGTCCCGTCCTCACTTGAGGCCCCACCCCATGCATGGGCACTCTCATAGGCACATGGGACAAGTTCCAGACAAGCCCAATTAGACTCTACTGTGAGTTGCTGTTAAATAAGAGCAAATTACACATTTTTATTATCAAACAATAACATGGTGCTACTGTTTCAGCTTTCACAAATGAGGATTCAATCTGTGGTCACCAAAAGATGGGTTTATTCTCCTTTAAACTGTCTACAAAGTATTTGCTGAGCTATACAGCTAGTGAATTATAGCCAATGCTCCCAAATCTCTCACTCCTGCCCTGTCTTCCCCTAGAGCTGCCGGCTCAATTCCAGTGGTTTTTTGACATTTCTTTTCCCATCTCTTCAAACCCTGCATATCCCACACTGAATTGGTGTCCATCCCCATAAGCTTGTTGCCCTTATGGTCTCAGTAGAGGACATCACTAGCTAGGTACCAAACTAGGAATCAACATCATCCCTCCCCCCGTGCCCTGCCCTAAGCAGTACCCAAATCACTCTCCTCCTCTCCTTCTCAATTATCATCAGCCTAGTTCAGGCCCTTATAGCTTTCATCTGAACCACTGAAACAACCTCCTTTTTCACAGAGCTGTCAGAAAGACCCCCCTCCTCTTGTACTTCAAAAATTTTAATGGCTCCGTCTTATCCATGATAAGGGACACCTTCACTGACAGGGAACCCATGCCTTCCATGACCTGGCCCTGCACAGTTGGCCAGCCTGCCTTTGTGTTAGTCCCTGCCTTGTATGTAAAGACCTAGCCATGCTGAAATGCCTCAAACTCACCATTCACACCAAGTCTTTCTCACTTCTGTTGTCCATCCCCCTGCCTGGAAAACCCTTCAGTCCATTTCTTGAGTTAGACCACAGGCTTCCTGAGATAAGTTTAAATTGTATTCACTCTGGAATCTGTGGCACCTGAGTACACAGTGTATGGGCTATAGATGGTTACAGACAAACCTTCCTCCTCTTCAGACTTAACCTGCAAAATGTGCTCTTTCCATACTAAGTCCATTTAAAATACTTTGCAAACATTCTTAAGGTCATGTTGAGAAACTTTTCATTGGGCACCTGTGGGCTGGTTTCTGGAGAATACATAAAAGTGTGCTTATGGACTTAGTGATCCACTGAATAAGGCACTGATTCAGCTCAGCAGGATAAACAGCAGAATGTGGGAAATTCTATATTAAAGATATAAACATACACCCCAGGAGGGCAGGAGTGGAGAGACTGAATGTAGCTGGAGGCAGGCAACGCAGAGGGTGAAGGCACAGACCTTGAGGGACAGGGAGGGTGTGACTAATGGTGATGGGGAGAAAGCACAGAAACAGGGCTGCTTTAAGGACCTTTCCCCACCCTATCACTGAAGCCCCCAGAGCTCTGACTTCATAAATAGCAGAAAGCACACGTAGGTCAGGAGCAGATGGGGCCTGATGAGGAGTCAGGAGGCCACTGACCTGCCTGGGGACATGGAGGTGCTGCTGCTGATCTGAGATAGTTGTCAGGGGCCCACCCACCTCAATAGGTAGCCACCCCAACAGGCAGCCCCACTCACCGCCTGAGTGACTCCGGAGGATGGAGACACACCGCCACTGCTCCACATTGGCGAGCTTACCACTGGAGCCGAACACGGTGCTGGGGCCGATGTACCTGTGTGAGAGAGGTGTCAGAGAGGCACTTGTGGAGTGCTCTGAGCACTGCACAGAGATGCTTCCTGCAGCATGGCTTATCATAGCAGACAGAACAAAGCAAAAACAGACAATGGCTGGAAAGCACAGGGTTGTTGAACAAAAGGGGCTGATTAGGTAAATTATGATCCATGCACATGATGACACAGTATATAGCCATTACAAATCTGGCATGGGAAAATGTTCACAATATATAACTAAGTGAAAGAAACAGGCCACAGGACATCATATACAATATGATACCACTTAGGTAAAGAAAAAAAATACATAAAACCTAGACACAAACTATGCATGGAACACAGATCAGAACACACACCAAAGAACACCAAAATATTAACCATGGCTTTCTTTAGGTAGTAGAAGGATGAGATACATATTTTAAAAATATTTTTTCAGTTTTCCAAATAGTGTACTAAATATGTTATTTATAGTGGCTAAAGTAGCAGAATCAACAGTATTTTTAAGTCCCCTTGTAATGAATGGAATGGCCCTGTTTTACCATTGAGGCGTAGAAACCACAAGAGCTGTGGGTATTAACTCCTACCAGACAGTCACCTATAGCTTGGTGGAGGTGGTGCTGACACCACTGATGTGCAGAGCCTCTGTCAACACCCTTTGCTCTTGTAGAGCCTTCCCAAACCCACAGAAAGAGAGTTCACTGAGGCATCCAAGTGTGCCAAAGGAGACAGCATATCTCTGCTCTCGAAGCCACAGTGACAGGGCCACTCTGGCTGAGCAATGGTGTAGGGTCTCGTCCCCCAACCTGACTCATCCACAGTCACCCAGGGCCCAAAAACCATACTGAGAGACTCTTGGCCTAGGTATTAAGAAAAATAGCTTTCCAGGTGAGGGCTAGCTCATTTTGGGTGGAGAACAGGGGCTGCCGCAGGTTGGGGTTGACAGAAAATGAGGTAAATGGCAAAAAGTGTGGGCTCTGCACCCCCTGCCCCGATCCCATCAGTGCACCTCGACTTTTAACCATTTTGTACATTGGGGTTCCATATGAAACTTCATTTGAAGAACAAAACAAATGAAGCCACCCATGTCGGCACTAAAAGGGATTTGCCCTTCCTTTTCAGGAAGAAGCTTTGCAGCCCTGTGAGGGGGCAGCTGACCAGGTCACCAGGCAGGTTGGTGGCCTCCTGACTCTGGGTCAGGCCCCATCTGCTCCTGACCTATGTGTGCTTCCTGTTACTCATGAAGTCAGAGCTCTGGGGGCTTCAGTGATAGGGGAAAGGTGACTTTGATAAAGACCGGCCAAGAAGCTTCTAAAAATAAAATGTGAAGAAAGGAAAATGATGCTTACGTAGCCCGCTTCCACACCATAATCAGTTTGTCATCTCCCCCAGAAGCTAAATACATCCCACTGTTTGACCACCGCACACAGTTCACACATGCTGGGAAGAAAAAAAAATAGGGTGATGAAAATCCAATAGTCATGCCCATTTGCTTTATGCAGAGTCTGGCAAGATGTAAAGGGTTTATAAAATCTAATCTACCTAATCTATTTAAGGCATCTACTGTGTGAGAGCCCCAGATTCAGTTTAAGCACTAACCTACTTGGGCTACAATAACAGATTACCAGAACAGTCTGGATGGGGAAAATATGCAAAATCTGAGAATTGTTTGTGCTGAATGAAATAGTCAATAGGAGGCTTATTTCCAAGAAAACCGATCACGACAATAAAATCTCATTATTTCCAAAGTGCCATCTATTGATGAGATGTATTTCTGAGTAGGGATTATTCTCAAAATGAGAGCATGTGCTAAAAAGGCTGAGATGCCTTTTCCAGAACTTTCAGGGGAGCAGCTTTGTAAAGTATAAGGCTCTGATTTCATCCCACATGTCAGAGCCAGCCCCTTTAAATTTGGACTTTCCAAACTTGTCAGCACTGCAGATTGACTGATTCTGCACTTATAAGCTAATATCAGCAGAAATCCTCCCAGACTTGTGATGGGTCAGAGCCTCCAGGAGCACTCACAGCTCAGTCTTTGGGAGACTTGAAATACGACGTACACTATTAAAGTTGTAGACATCACATGGCCTGTGTGTAACTTTTGCTCCAGGTCTGAGGACACTGAGAGGCATGTTGGGAGAACAAGAACACACAGAGCAAAGGAAGGGGCTGATGTCCAAAGGCTAGAAACTATTAATGGAGTATCTCAGGGGTGGGAAACTAAGACACTACAGCAAGAAAGAAAACCATGACACTGTTCAATGGCCAAAAGGGTCTTGGTAGAGAGCCTTAGAGTAAAACAGTGCCAACCTGAGACATTTTGGTGTTGTCTCTTGTGCACCCTTCCCCAGAACCCTACTGTGTCCAGGTTGCTGGCCCCAAAGCCCCATGGAATCAGGCAGTAACGACTCATGAGCAGGAAATCACCAGAGGTACCTGCAGACTGTCCAAAGATGGTTCTGTGGGCGGGCCGAGTCTTCTGCCGAATAACTCACCCAGGTGTGCAGCCAACATCTGTGCCTTCAGACAGCAGGCCGAGGGGAGTTACCGCCGCACGGGGCCTTATCTTTCTAATTACAAACACATGTGCTAACCTTGGGCACTCTGCCAACACGCAAAGCCTGCAAAGGGCCACTCTGTAATACCTAAGTGATTGTCCATCTGGCAAAGCATCTTGGGAATATTTTCATCCTTCTCGTCATCCTCCTGGAGGACTGGAGACATATTCCAGATCACAACCTTCCCAGAATCCTGTCCTGGAATGAAGGAGCAGAAATAAATAAATGTGCAAAGAGTAGAAATCTGATATTGACACATATTATTAACTATATGAGAAGTCCTCACTTAGCTTCCATAAACATAATTGACTAGATCTAAGGAGACTGAATTTGAAGTACTAACGGAAATCACAGAAAAGATGAAGAAAATCAAGTTCTCAGGGGGACCAAAAGGAGTGCAGATGTAGTAGTAAGCTGAGGCCAACCTGACTTTATGAAAAGAAATCAGGAGAGGGCCAAGCTCTCGTCTGGCCTCTAACAGGGATCCACCAGGGGCCCCTAGAAGGTCTTCATTCCTGCCCAGGGCCCAAACTTCTCTTGTGTAAAATGAAGAGGATGGAAAGTTGATGTCCCAGGAGCCTTTCAGGTCTGTGCATGTGTATCCTAGAAAGCAAGGAGGAAAGTACACACTACTGGGGTTTCCCTCTCCTTCTTGGTGCTCCCTGGAATCCATGGCTGTTCCAGAGCTGACTGGAGGAGCCTTTCAGGTCTGTGCATGTGTATCCTAGAAAGCAAGGAGGAAAGTACACACTACTGAGGTTTCCCTCTCCTTCTTGGTGCTCCCTGGAATCCATGGCTGTTCCAGAGCTGACTGTATGCTTTGATACCCAAGTGTGAAATGTGCCCTGAACACAGGAGAAAGAGCTCACTACATTCTTATGTACCTCTTTGCAGTCACCTATAGATGGGAGATCAACCAAAAGAGGATTCAGGGATCCTGTGGCCATCAGTTGATGTTCTGCTCTGCTGAAAAATATATCTATGTATTTTGGTAATAATTTCTATTTTTAAGCCTCCCATCACTGATAACAAAAGTCCAGCTCCTCATTTAACTTTCTATTACAGAGTGGCAAAAACCAATGGACGCCTGGAAATGGACATGCCAAAATTACCATGAAGCATGTTTGAAATGACCTCTTGGCCAATATGTAAAAATATTTCCTAAACATCTGTCCCAGACGTTACTCTCCCAAGTAAGGTGGTAAAATGTGCATCCTCTGTGGACAAGAAGCAAGCCCTCTGTTGTCCCACCTAAGTCTAGCTCTCTTACATGAAGCTCCTCTCAGGTGTAGTTGGCAGCACGCAGAAAGGAAAAAATCTTCCCTGCCCACAGCTTTCCTGAACTCCCTTCCTGTTCTCTACCTCTGGGCAGAGGGGTCTGCAGCCAACCCATCCTGCAGCACCTAGCCCAAAACTCACAAAGACACTCAGTCTCCAGATGCTGCCAAGGGAAGCCTGGCTGGGGGGAAGTCCTGCTCTGGGGCAAAGTTGCTGAAGTGCTGGGTTCTGCGGTTATGCTACATTGTGCTACCATATACACATCTTGGTGTCCTGGCATGAAAAATGGCTTTATCTTTCCAAACAGAGCCATGTTACTGTAATATTGCTGTAACAGACGTTGGCTGAAGCGTACTGACAATATTATAGATCATATTTTCAAAGGGCATGGGCATTCTTACTTGCCCACAGTGTACTTTCTCTCTAACCCAGTTCAATTCCTTTGGCCAGAAAATGGGCCTAATAACTACATGACTGACTTAGTAGTTTAACCATACCCTCCCCTTTTCCAGATGAGAAAACCACTGGCAGAGCCCTTGCCTCTGGGGCTGGGCTTTGTTTATGCGACCACTTGTCCCTCTCCATGCTCAATAAGCTTAGGCTTGGGAATGCAGATTGGTTTAATATTAACTCAATACATAGGAATTAGAATGGTAAACCTGCTACTAAAATATTTACAGAGAGCGTACTAGAGCCAAAAAACGAATTTTGATTTAACTCGTTCAGATAACAGATTACAATAATACATTTAAAACTGAGTCACATTCATACTGAAAAATTGCAAATATTCTCTCTCCCCAGCTAAATAGACAAGGAGAAGCAGAGCAAGGCAGCAGGGCTGTGATGATATCTCTCTTATTCCGTGAACATACCTTGTCCTCCAGTTGCGAACTTGGTCCCGTCGGGGTGAATATCAACTGAAAAAATCGGCTTGCCTGGAAACAAAGAAAAAAACCACACAACATCTAACTTGGCTTTTATTCATTAGGGAAGAGCAACAGACTCAACATTTAAAATATTGGTTATTCAAGTAATATCTCTAATCACTGCACCTAGCACAAAACAATAGGTACAGATAAATTACCTGTAAGGGTGGAGTGATCTAACAGTTTCAGTTAAAGTCTAAACTGCTGGAAGACTGTCCAAGCAACAGTAGATAGCTGAAAGTCCAACAGTGGGACAAAGCATTCCATCACTGAGAATGACTGAGTCCACAGGATGCCTGGGCATTTGCCTGCCACCTTCTGGGGACCCTTGCTTGTAAAGGTTATAAGCTGTTCATGATAAAAGCTGAGTCAGAAATGCTTAGGGAAACGAGCACACAGCTACACCTCTAGACATCTTCCTACTGCCTGGATATGTACTTGGTTGGCAGCCTGGACACAGGGAGCACCTTCCATCCTTTCCAACTGGCTGGCTGACAGCTGGGTGAGACCAGTGGCTGGCCACAGCACAGGCGCCTTGCTTCCCTCATCATACTTCTGCTTCCTAAAAGCCCTCCCGTATGTCTGAGCTGCATCAAAGTTCACAGAGTGTCCAACTCCTCAGCATCTCCTTTGGCTGAACCTCCTTCACAGTATGTACTCTACATTAAATTGGATGTTCAGTTCCTCCAGGGGAAAAGGCTATGGCCATTAGTTCTTGGCAGTTTCACAGGGCCCAGTACGGGCCAGGCCTGTACTAAGAGCCCATGAAGTTGGATGGCTGGTTGGGTGAACAAAACTGGTGAAAGCACCATAAGAGATTGAAATCCAGCAGACCATGGAAGGTAATCCAGGGGCCTCATCCCTGGTGGGAGTTTGTCAGGCTCCCTGGTCTGCTTCCAGGCCACGGGCACAAGAGGTGCAAGTGGCACATCAGTTGCTGCTGAGTTCATCACCACATTTTGAGTTCCTCACCAGCCTCTAGCACAGTGCCTGGTGAGTGGTAGCTCAGTAATATTTGTTCACTGACAAATTAGGTACATGACAACGCAGTGAGCATCAGCAATTGCTGGTATAGACAAAGGGCTGTTGCCAAGCATCACTTAATTGAGGAAGTTCTGTCTCTGCCACCCAGAAGAGGCAGTGTGGACACCAGGATGAGGATCACCAGGTCTGTTATCACCTAGCGAGTGCAGGTGGGGAGGGGTCAGGCGGTGGTTGCCTAAGAGCTGTAAAGGCCTGCCAGGCTCCCATGCAAGTGTGGAAAATTAATGCTGGTACCCAAAAGGCAATGCCCAGCATGGGCCTCAGGTGGCACTTAGCTTACCAGAGAGCCAAATCAAGCATGAGCTTCCACAAGACAAGGGGAAATATACTTTTCTTCTTACTGTCATTACACGGTAATGGGGTAAACAGTTGTGCAAGGCCACTAGGTGAGCAGGCATTGCAAATACATGCACCTTATTTTGTCTCAGGGAATCAGAAGAAACCCTCAGAAAGTTTGGAAATCATACTACATGTTATATTGTCTCTAGTACTTACTGAATTCCAAATCAACAAAAGCCCCCACAACAGGCCTCTGTCATCATGCTGGCAGTCTCCAGCCTGGTCCCTGAATCCCCTCAGTCACCTCCAGGCCCACATCCAAGAACCAGAGCTCCATGGAGACAGGTCAAGTTCAGCCAAGAAGCTGCTGACCACCCTCCTGGAACAAATTCAGGGTGCTCAAAGCTGAGGAGGTTCAGTCCTGGTCTGCTCTGAGCTTTCATTCCAAGGGTTCAGGAGACAAGCCCCAGCACAGCTCTCACTCCATCCAGCTTTGAAGGAGCAGAACCAGCAGTAGATGCACTTAGAGGTGTGAAGTGAGAGAGCCTGCAAGTCCATCTTCTTTCATAGCTCAGACAGGGCAGATCTTATTTAGTCTCATTTTAATCTTCTAGAGAAGAATCTAGAAAACCATATACTCACAGGGTAAAAGAAGGTAGGTGCTGAGAGTACAGGTGAGAATTACCAGAGATGCTCAACCTGGTGCTTTCTCATTTGCATCCAGGCCCACGCTGGCATGTCTGCACTTGTCGTGGGTGCCACATCCCCCTCCCACAGGCTGAGGGGCTGGAGGGAAGCAGTTGTGAGAAGATGGCTTTCTTGCCCATCTGGGCCATGACAAGTGCTTCACAGGAAAGCCTCGAGAAACAAGGGCTATGGGCCTTGTTACATTTGGGGCTATGGACCCAGCTTCAAGCCATGCAGATTCTGTTGCTCCAATGGCTGTGAGGAGCTATGACCGACTGTGGCGCCTAGCACTGAGACAGGCTGTGAGTCCTGCCAGACACCAAAGGGCAGCGACAAATTAGCACTACTAAGAATCTTGTGAAATTCAGAAGAGTGGCCATCTCCAAGTATGGTAAGGACAGCAGCGGGGGATCGCCTAGCACTGAGACAGGCTGTGAGTCCTGCCAGACACCAAAGGGCAGCGACAAATTAGCATTACTAAGAATCTTGTGAAATTCAGAAGAGTGGCCATCTCCAAGTATGGTAAGGACAGCAGCGGGGGATACTGGGCACCATCAGCACAGCCACCTCTTCTCAGGCCCTCCAGGGAAAGCGGCAGCAGAGTAGCCCCTGGAGGTGCCTTCCAGGAGAGCCAGAGCCATGGGGCATATCCCAGGAGCTTTGTCTTTCCAAGGTCAGAACCAATTTTCCCCAGCATCTGCTCTGCCACTCAAACCCTGCAGGCGGCACAGCCCAGGGATTCTCCAAATCTCACACCACCCTCTAGAGTACAGATACTTCTGACATGCTCGTTTCACAGTTGAAGAAGAAACAGGTGCAAGAAAGGTTAGGAAAGTTGCGCAAGGACACACAGCTGCCTGGTAGAGTCCAGGCATATGGCTCCAGAGCTTGAGGCTTTAAATACTAACTGCTCTGCTAGGTGAGGCTGGGAGGGAGTGGCCTGGCACTGCTGTGAGGGTGGGGATGACACTGTCTGGAAGAAATTGATACAAAGTCTATAGGTAGAAAGTGAAGAAAGGACGGAGAAAGAGCCCACTGGGTCCTGATAACCTGGTTCAGGCCCTTGGACCTGCTGAACATCACCCTGGATACTTCAGTCCCATGGGCCTGTGTGGGAGACTGCTACTCTGCTACTTCAGTAGGCTCCAGTAAACCACATCTCCCCAGGACTCCTGCCCTTGTGTACCACCCTCTCCTTGAATCAGGGTTGGCCCTCTGACCCATTTTAATGAACAGCATGTGACAGAGCAGTGTTGCTCCAGTTCCAGGCTTAAGCCTAAAGACAGTGTAGCAGTTCAACTTTTGCTCTTTGGGGAAAGCCAGTTGTCATGTGAAAAGTCCAACTATCCTGAGACCACCATGCTTTGAAGAGGCCCAAGCTAACCATATGGAGAGGATAGAAAAGCCCAGACAGCAGTGAGAATCAAGACTCTAGACACAGTCAGGGCAAGGGGTTCTAACCCCAAGCTGTTCAGGCCATCCCAGCAGATTCCATAGAGTTGCGATGAGCTGAACCTGCTGAGCCCTGCCAAATTGCAGAATCATAAGCAAATAATAAAATGGCTATTGTTTTAAGCCAGTAAATTTGGGGGTAGTTTGTCATACAACAGGCGAAAACCCCAAATGCCAATTCATTCACTTTTCTGCTTTTCTGCTTAAGCCAACTTGAGTTGGGCACTTGCCATTTTAACCAAAAAAGTTCTAGGTGACTGAGCATCAGTCTTGATAGGCAATCAGGACAGAGCATACCCCCCGGCCTCCAGTTTTTTCAGTTTTGTAAGTGTGTGAGACATCATAGTATATTGGCCCCTCAGGAAGCACATCAGAAACACTCACGGACGGGAGCGCCGCCGCGCTTCCCAAGCGGCGCACCATCCAGTGCGCCACCGGGCCGGCGGGCACTTGCCATTTTAACCAAAAAAGTTCTAGGTGACTGAGCATCAGTCTTGATAGGCAATCAGGACAGAGCATAACCCCGGCCTTCAGTTTTTTCAGTTTTGTAAGTGTGTGAGACATCATAGTATATTGGCCCCTCAGGAAGCACATCAGAAACACTCACCTGCAAGTCATAGGCCCCCCTGACTACCCAGGAGCACATACAAGCTGAGTCAGACCATGCCAAGGGCTTAGCTGCACAGGTCCCATTACAGTCCATGTCTTCCAGACCATGCCCATGCACAGAATCAACTGGATGTTTTCTTATTCAGTCCACATTTGAGGCTGTCTACTATGTGCTTGGTATTGGGCTAAGCAAGAATAAAGTAAAGATATAGAATCATATGAACCTCACTAGTAAGGTGTCCAGTGATGGACATCGCATAGGTAGAAAGTCACCTAACTCAGCCTGGGACTTCCTGAAGAAATAACAACTGAACTGAGTTCCAGAAGTTGAGTGGGAGCCAGTCAGAAGTGTGGGGTGGGGTAGGGGAGAGGAGTTTCAGGCAGAGGAACATGGCATGGAATCAAGATAGCCTGATGTGCTGCTGTAGAGCAGCGCATGGGTAGATTGAGAGAGAGAGGCGAGAGAGATGTGCAGAGCCCAGCAGGCACCACTGAAGAGCCCATGCCTTCCTTTAAATGTACCTTTGAAGCAGGGAAACGCCAAGGTCAGAGTCACATTTTGGCTCCACAATAGCTGTGTGGAAGAGATGGGGGTAGGGAGTTTCAAGCCTCCACGGAAGGGTAGGAATGAAGTCTGGGAACAGGTCTGTGTTTTAGCATTAAACCTCCTCAGCCCTGCAGTTTACCAGTAAATTATTTAATCTCCTCAAACACCAGTTTCCTAATCTGCAAAAATGGGGAGGACACATATACCCTTACAAGCACCTTGTGAGACAGATTAAGACTCATTGCTTCTTAATGTCACATTGCTTCTAAGATGCATCCGTTTTGCATTTTAACATTTCGGAGATCAGGATGTGTGCTGGTGAAAGGTGTGACAAGTTTCACTGGCACCATGTTTCCTTTCTTAGTGTGCAGTAGACTAGGTGA